AAGGTACGTGCACGAGGCACCTTGCGCTATTTTTGAAACATGAAGGGTTTTAGGTGGAATCGGAGACGACACCACCGCGGCTGCCGCGAACATCCACGTACACATGCGTGTGGAGTGACGCGGACCTCCCCTCCGTCGGGGATGGATTCGGCGCTGTAGGCGTTCTGTCTAATGCATATGAGCGGAGTGGCATGCATTCCCCTTGTAAAGTATTTGAATGGGCGAAGACTAACAACTGTTTACTCTTTTCTTTTTCCTCCATTCCCACGCATGAGTTTTCCCACGGTTGAGTTTGGAAAAAAACGAAAACCTGAGAAAAAATAAAAAATGCCATCATGAAGATGCTTGGACTTTCGATATTTTGTGGTGTTGTTTCCTCTTCTGATATACGTTCGTTTTCTGTGGTGTAAGAGGCGACCTTGAGGCTGGTACCGGGGTCCGTATCGTTATGCTGTGGCATAGCCTCCTCCGTACTGAAAAAGCCTGGCATATCACCACGAGACGCGGCCGACGAAAGTGGAAAGGTAGAGCGGCAGACAAGAGGCATGTAACGGGCTCCTCGCTGCGGCGAGACGCCGAAACACACTTGTCCCGAGCGATGGAATATCCGGTCGTGCTTTTCGCGTTCCTCGTACTACAGCTTCTTTTCCCATCTGGTTTTAAAACCATGTTTCGGGTACTCGCCACTGCAAAAGCTGTGCGCTGACTATAGGCTACCCGAGAAATGCTCTTTGCTACCAGATACTCGCGCTCCAAATCTGCGACCGGGCACTCTATGGCTCTGTGATCGAACTGCCAGGCTTTCTGAGTATAGAGGAGGTTCTGGCTGTCGAGTGTCTGAGCAATTCAATTCCTTTTCGTTCAGTGCAATTGATGGATCACTGCCGCACGTGCCGCGTGCTTTCCTGACGCCATGTGGAACGCTCCTATGATTTCGACCTTGTTCCTATCTTTTAATCTATCCAACACTGAGGTATTTCCAAAAAGCGCTTCGCAGTGCATCTTGCACAATGCGCTGCCAGGTTGCCGGGTATTTGCGATTGTCCGCATGCATATTTATGTTCTCGAAGTATCTCATTTAGGCACCTCCCCGTCTGACCGATGTATGATTTACCACACGTCAATGGTATTTTATAGACAACCCCTTCTACGCATCCGACGAACTTGGATTTGTGTTGTACCAGACTCAAGGACTGACCCGCTGTGTCGCGTTCTTCGACAACCGAAAATCCACGTCAGTTTATAGTGGGACAATCCGTATGGATTCTGAAGTTCCTTAACGGACGAACCTAGATCTCGGGAACCACCACAGAGCACCCAAGCTCGCTGTCATGGACAGTCCAGACAGAAGACGGACAAGTTCGACGGCACATGAACCACATACGACCAAGGCCATTTATTGGCTACGCATCGGTCGATTTATACACCCTCAGCAGCCTGGGGCTTGGACGCTCATGCCGAAGAGGTACCAGCGGAAGCGATAGCACAGAAGGCCACGAAGTGCGCGAACCTGTGGCTATGCCCACTCGGGCAGGTACGCGGGAATGAAGACCCTCCACAAGGTACGGGACCGCAGCCAAGTGAGGAGAAGACGTGATGTATCTGCTTATGCTAGCAGAGGACGGGACATGTTGGGGAGCGCACGGTTACCGCGTAGTGAGAGCGCGCGGTATGAAACAGCAAAGGTCTCGGTCAGTCGGGAGGCATGATTAAAACGAACGAGTCGAGCGACTAGTGACTGCAACTGGGTTCTTACTCGTGAGACATCACACCGGGGAAACGTTTCTTGAGATTAGAATTACAATTTCGTCTTGCTAGTTTACAAAATGTATTCCTTGCAAAAAATTAAGAAAAAAAAATGAAAGCCGTTTACAAATCCCTGTAACGCCGAATCGGAGCGTAGCTCTTGAGGAGGAGTAGGGAAGGGTACTGAGGGGGGTCACGTCCCCTGCGGGTGGTCACGTGACCTCGGGGGGTGAAGGGGGTCACGTGACCTAGGGGTGGGTCACGTGACCTCGGGGGTCACGTGACCCCCCCCCCCCCCCCCCCCGGTTACGCCGACGCCGACGCCGCTCAGGCTGGAAACGGGCCCCTAAGAGCTGCGCTCTAAAATGAAAGCCGTTTGCAATTCCCTGTAACGCCGGGTAGAGCGAAGCTCTCGAGGAGGAGGATGGAAGCGTACTGAGGGATAGGTGACTTATTAGGGGGTCACGTGACCTTAGGTCAGGTGACTTAAAGGGGTCACGTGACCTCAGGTGGTCACGTGGCTTCAGGGGGTATCGTGACCTCAGGGGGTCACGTGGTCTAAGGGGGTCACGTGACATCGGGGGTGAGAGGGGGTCACGTGACTTCAGGCGGTCACGTGACCTCGGAGGGGGGTCACGTGACGTTGGGGAGTCACGTGACCTCGGGGAGGCGGTCCCGTGACCTCGCGGTTACGCCGACGGCGACGGCGACGGCAACGCCGCTCAAGCCGGAAACGGGCCCCTAAGAGTTGTTTTTATTATTATTAAGAAATTGTTTTTATAGAGTGCACAAGGTTGTTTATTTTTTTAGAAAAAAAATACGACGCCGACGGTGAAGGCGACGCCGCTCAAGCTGGAAACGGGCCCCTAAGAGCTGCGCTCTAAAAAAAGAAGCAACCTTGTGCACTCTATAAAAACAATTTCAACCTAAAGATTCAAGCGCAGAATCCATTTTGGATACACGAACGCCGCCGCCTGGGAGAGGATACCACCTAGGAGATATACTTGCAGGGCAACGCATCGCAGAACGCTCAAACTTCGCCGGAATGTAACCCTAGCGGTCCAAGCAAGATGCCATAGTTTCAGCCCGATCCAATAACGTAATCGAAAGTTATGTGATTTTCTGAACATTTCAAATGGGAAAATGGCCACCGACGGAGTTGTCGAAAACATGGGGCTCTATGGCACCAGAAACCGAAAACTGGCAAAACTGAGCTCCATTTTCCCATTGAAAATTTCAGAAAATCACTAATAACTTTTGTTTACATTATCGGATCGGGCTGAAACTTTGGTGTCTTGCTTGGACCGCTAGGGTTACATTCTGGCGGAGTTTGAGCGTTCTGCGATGCGTAGGTTTTTTACACGGGCCGAAAAGTAGGGTTTACTTTTCCCGATCGGACCCTGTAGTTTTTGAACACGTCCTTAAGGTCGTCCTACATATCGTCCTTGAGGTCGCCCTAGACGTCGTCCTTAAGGTCGTCCTTGAAATCGCCCTTAAGGTCGTCCTTGAAATCGTCCTTGAATTCGTCCTCGAGGTCGTCCTAGAAGTCGTCCTTGAGGTCGTCCTAGACTTTGTCTTCGAGGTCGTCCTAAGGTCGTCTTAGACGTTGTCCCAGAGCTCGTCTTAGGCGTCATCCTTGAGGTCGTCCTAGACGTTTTCCTCTAGGCGTCGTCCTAGAGGTCGCCCGGCCTAGACGTCGTCCTTTAGGCATCGTCCTAGACTTCGTAAAGATAGCTTCGCTGGTCCTCCTTCTTCACGTGAAGTGAAAGGGCTCTACGTTTTTTATAGTGTTGTGTTATTTTTCTGAACTTCGTGAATTTCGGAAATCTCTGCTTTCAAATCATTTCGATGTGCTGCGTTCTCTGTTCGCAGCGGCATGTTATGCGCCTTCTGAGAAGTCCATTTACTTCTGCGAACAGTCGCTGTTGTAAATGCTTGTCGCGCAGGCCGCGCACAAAGCGATCTGTCGACATTACCTCGAGAGGCAGCAACGTTTGGTTCAGCTCCAGCTGTCGTGCAGGAGATCTGCTCTTCGCCTGCGGAACCTGCGGTACTGGTGCTAGCTGTGACCGCCGCTAGGGGTACCGTCAGAACTCCGAAATTGCAGTTGGCAGCAAGCTTCTTTGAAGCTGCAACGTAGCTCGATATCCGCTCCCCCGCCAGCTGGTCCCTTCGTTGAAATTTGGCCCTCCTGAAAAGCTCCGAAGACCGCGGGTCGTAGTGTTTCTTCAGTGTCGTCATGACCTCGTCAAAACTGACCTCACCAGGAGTTTTTGGTGCCGCGAGCGCTCGTACAACTTCATAAGTTTTTGCTCCACAACAGCTCAGCAGTAAAAACTTTTTCTTTGTAGGCTCCAACACTCCGTTTGCTTTGCAGTAGAAACCAAGTCGCTCTGCCCAAGATGGTCACGCTGTTCCATAAAATGCTTTAAGCTTCAAGCTTGCCCTGGGTAGCCATCGCTCAGTCACCCTTGTGGTGCCCGTTCACTAACCTCCTCGCGAAAAGTGTAATGCATCGCGAGTAAGAACCCATTTCCAGCCATTAGTCGCTCGAATCGTTCGTTCTAATCATGGCTCCCGACTTACTGAGACCCGTGCTGTTTCAAGCCGGGCGCTCTCAGCACGAGGTGACCGCGCCCTCCCCAGCAAGTCCCGCCATCTGCTAGCATAAGCAGATACGTCACACCCGTCATATTAAAAAAAAAAAATTCATCTGGAATTGAATTTCGCTCTGTTAAGGACAAATAACTGCCAGAACGATGCGTACTCAAATTATTAAAGCCACTTTGTTGCTTCTTTTTAGGAGACGCGGCATGTGGGTACCCACAGGCCCGGTACCAAAACAACCACGTATCGAAACACCCGCACCGAATCGTCCGGTACAGAACTACCATGTATCAATAACACCCGGCTTCCCAAGGGAAGTTCTTGGTGAGCAAACATTTTTTTTTCTTTTTTTAAGAAACGGAGTTTGTTCGTATTTAAACGGTCTTTGAATATTTAACCCCTGGAGATGTTCGACGGTGCTTTTCAGTTAAAGCAAAGAAGTCTACGGCCTAGTTCTACTACGGCGTCGTGAAGCGTTTGAGAGAATGAAGAAAGGACCGATATGGGGTTGTCAGCATTCCTTCCAGAAAAAATGTCAGCAATGTTACCCCTTCTCAGCGTCCAAAAAATATCTCTAGCCACTTTCCAATCAAAATATTATTTTTTTTTTATTTTTTTACTTTGTAGAGTTAACGGTTACCACTCACCGTAGTATTTGTTCAGGCGTTTCTCGTCGGAAACAGCATCGGGGAAGCCTGTGAAGATGGCCGTGTTGTCAAGCTTACGCAGCGCGAATTTCCGGGAATCGACGTCCATCCATGCGGCCTTTTCCAAACGACTTCTGAGCGCATTTCTGAGATCGGATATTGTCAGCTTGGCTATTGCGACAGTGTCAGTCCAAGTCTCTGAAAAATATTAAAAGGCTACAATGATGATGTCTGTCGGAGAAGAGACGAAACGTCTACTTATAAACTGTTGACATTGTTTTATAAGTTGGAGGCATTTTGATTTCTAATCATAAGCCCCGGCTTTTGGAACATTCTTGAATTTATTAAAAGTAAGTAAAACGAAAAAATAAATAGGAAATTAGAGGACTGCACAATATGTGTGTTACGCAGAGTCAAACGCTCTATTGTAACCTGCAAAATGTACGAGATGTTTTACGTGCCTAGCTTTTACAGGGACCTAGAAAAACGAGCACCATCTTCACCTGGGGCACGGTGATTTTCGAAGGTCCTGTTCATTTCACACCAGCCGAGCTACAAATCGCCCGCAGTCTTCTCAAGGGGTCTGGCTATAGAGTGAAGCATGCGTGACCAGTGAAGCTGGTTGAGTTTTTAGAGCGCAGCTCTTAGGCGCCCGTTTCCGGCTTAAGCGGCGTCGCCGTTGGCGTCGCCGTCGGCGTCGCCGTCGCCGTCGCCGTCGGCGTAACCGCGCGGTGCATTATGGGTAAATTTCCCCGCTAAATCTTGCAGGAAAATTTCCCCGCTAAATCTAGCGGAAAAATTTCCACGCTAAATTTAGCGGAAAAATTTCCCCGCTAATTCTAGCGCTAAAATTTCCCCCCTAGATCTAGCGGAAAAATTTCCCCGCAAAATCTAGCGGACCAATTTCCCCGCTAAATTTAGCGGAAAATTTTCCCGCTAGAACTAGCGGAAAATTTGCCCCGTGCGGAAATTTCGCCAGTAAATCTAGCGGAAAAAATTTCCCCGCTAAATCTAGCGAAAAAATTTCCCCACTAAATCTAGCGGAAAACATTTCCCCGCTGAATCTAGCGAGGGAATTTTGGTCACGTGACTGGGGGGTCACGTGACCTGGGGAGTCACGTGACACCCCGAGGTCACGTGACCTCCGAGGGGGCACGTGAGTCCCCCCACGTGACCCCACCAAGGTCACGTGCCCTCGGGGGGGTCACGTGGCCCCCCCCCCTCCCGAGAACACGTGGCCCTCAGTACCCTTCCCTCCTCCTCCTCAAGAGCTGCGCTCCAATTCGGTGTTACAGGGAGTTGTAAACGGCTTTCACTTTTTTGCTCACACACTCCCGACTCAAGCCGTGCGCGAATAGACTTCGCCAGTCTCCTCTAGCACTGATTAGGAATCATTATTATTATGCAGCAACCAGAATATTCACAATGCATTGTGTTTTTCAGCATTCTCACTTTTTTAGGTGGCAAGGATTAAACATAAGTTATTAAATTGAAGCTGACACAATACCATAACTCCTAAAGAGTTTTGCCAAGTTTCTTGAGGTTTAAACAATGAGAAAATATGCAGTTAGCGAGGATCGCGCGCTTATTTTTCACTGCGATCAACGATTTGGGAGTTCGATTGCGTAGAACCAAGAAGGGCCCCAGAGCAAAATCCTAAGCTCCCACCTCTCAACCGAGGTTTCTAAAGGCACAAGCTTTTCTAACAAAATATAAAAAAATGCCTAAATAAAAAAATATTCTTTAAATAATTAAAAGCTCCGAAAAAGACAAGGACAAAGAAGTGGAACGACACAAGGCGCACTCACAACTGTTGTTTATTTTAAAAAGTACATACATTTATAGGCCCCAGAACCCTGTTAGTTATGAGCGTGTCACCTCGCAATGCTTCTCTCAAATATTCAAACTCACTCTTTGACAGGGCGAGTGACGCTTCACTTATACACTCAACGCCCTTATCCCTAACTGCATACGCCTCGTGCACCTCTCGGCTTGTTCGGTCGCGATAACGAGCCAAAATCTTAATGTCATGTAGCACTGGCGTACACGGGCATCTACTACAATGAATGGCGAGATGGCCAGACGGGCTGGCTCCCGTGGCAGCCGCATGCTCGCGGGCGCGGTCATTCATGCATCTGCCCCTCTGGCCAATGCACACAGAGCCGCATGACAGCAGGATTTCATATACAACTCCTAAAGCACACTCGGCAAACTTTTTTTTTGTGTTTTTGCTGCAAATATTACTCTGTTGATCGGGACAATTGATTTTATTAAAGTGGAACCATCCGATTGGGCGCTGAGAAAACCACAGGTACGTTGAAACGCTGGGCCACTTTCTTTAAATTACTAAGTGTATGTATCGAATAACCGCTGGCCTCATATTGGGTCTCTCGAGGGCGGGTTTGCCCGTTCTTTTTATCTTTTTTACCAGGGCTTCAGCAACCTCAGTTAAGCACCTTTGCGGAAAGCCGGCCTCTTTGCAGTTTTGTGATCTGTCGCGCGAAACTTTTCTGAACGGAATGCTCGCAAGACTTCTTGAGAGCGGCATCCAAACACGTTTTGGCAATGCCCCTTTTACCTAACTTAGAGTGAGCCGACTCAAATGGCAGGATCGCTTTCTTGGATCTCGGCTCATACACTCTAAAAAAAGTCTGTGCATTTACTTTCACGCACAACACTCGGAGAACGAGTCAGCGCAACTTACGGAGGCAGCTCAGCGAATGACGATGCCGAAACATCTGTTTAGACCAAAACACGCATACTGATTTGTGACATTAAGCAATGCAAGAGTGACGTCTTGCATTGCTTAATGTCACAACTCAGACTGCGTATTTGGTTGTAAGCATATGTTTCGGCATCGTCATTCGCTGAGCTGCCTCCGTAAGTTGCGCTGACTCGTTCTCCGAGTGTTGTGCGTGAAAGTAAATGCACAGACTTTTTTTAGAGTGATAAGTCCAACATATATGTGGTCTCCTAAAAAAACTTAGTTTAATGTCTAAAAATTGTAACTTCCCCTCAGTGGGTGTCTCAAATGAAAAGTCAAACCGCCCGCGCAAGCACCGAAGATACGCATAATCGCAGATACAACATCTGCCAAGGATACCTCAGGTGCCTCACTAAAAATAAGAAAATCACCAATGCATCTAAAAATCCCGTTTTTGCCTTCGCATCTTAGCTTCTCTAGGATGGCGTTGTCGCATCTGCTTAAAAAGAATATCACACAGAACTGGCGCCACACGCGACCCAATGCCAATGCCCTTCTTCTGAACGTACAAGTCCCCTCCAAACAAAACATACGTGTGCGTAGGAAAAAGGTAGAAGTTCAAGAAAACTATCAACGCTAACGCCATTGGAGGAACAAAACGTCACCTCTCCATTTTTTTCGATACATTTCCTAACCGCACAAAAGAGTGGCTCATGCGGTACAGAATAAAAAAGATCTTCAGCATCCACCGAAAAGGCGCTTTGAAATCCCCGTGCTCCTTCCTCCAGAAATTTAATAACACTCTGCGAGTTTCGCACCAAAAGGATCGTACAGCTTCAATGTTGGCAAGTGCTTGCTGAGGAAGCTAGACAAGCGTGCCTGCCAAGAGCCCCTTTCCGTTACAATCGCTCTAAAAGGGTTCCCACTTTTGTGCGTTTTGGCTCGTTATCGCGACCGGACAAGCAGAGAGGCGCACAAGGCGTATGCAATTAGGGATAAGGGCGTTCAGTGTATGAGTGAAGCGTCACTCGCCCTGTCAAAGAGTGAGTTTGAATATTTGAGAGAAGCATGGCGAGGGACACGCTGACGACTAACAGTGTTCTGGAGCCTATAAATGCATCTACTTTTCAAAATAAACAACAGTTGCAAGTGCGCCTTGTGTCGTTCCTTTTCGTTGTCCTTGTCTTTTTCGGCGCTTTTAATTATTTAAAGAACCATGAACCAACTGGCCCAACTTTCCACTTTGCTCAAAAAATATAAATGAGCTTTTCTTTTTGTACCAGCACAGATGTTTTTCGAAAGTAACATGCTGGTAGATAGAAGATCAGATTCCCAGCACGATGGCGTAACAACCGACACCGCAGAACATGCAAATAGCGCTTGCGGAAGAGCTATGACTTGTGCTCCCACCACAGGAGGATTCGTGCTGCCGAGGCGCAACCGAACGCTATGGTGCGGAATGGCGTTCCAAGGAGTGAGATTCCTGTAATAATTAAAGACGACCGTATTGGTGAGTGGGTACGAATACATGAAATGATAAAACATTGAGGACGGAAACGAAAAGGGGACTTCTTTCATGGATGAAGCAGGATAAAAGATGTCCTGTTTCCGTACCGGGCCTCGATGGTTTTATTCTTTCATATATTTGTAGCGAGATTCCTGGAACGCCTTCGTTCGAGAAGGATTGGAGGAGCGTCACCGTTCTGTTTTAAATCGTTAAAACGGGAACGGGAACGCGCTACATTGTAAAAAAAAAAAATGGCAAAAGAAACGGCGCTTTTTTTTTTATTGCGTAAGAATTGATTGTCTTGGCGCACGCAGCTGTCTGCATGCCGAAATAAGGCGCGTCGCTTCACCTTGGCAGCCGGTGGGCAGCGCCACCGATCACCGCGTCCGCGTCACCGTCGCATAGTGCAGCGCTGCCAGCGCTGCCCGCTCTCAATACGTCCGCAGCGTCATGGTCCCGTCTAGGCCTTCCCGCAGCAGCGTTAAAAGTTAGGCATCTCCAAAATCTGCAACCTACTGACGTCCATCATTCTCTGTTTAGGTTTTCACGTCATTTGACCCAGACGAGTTGCTCGGAGCTCAAGTTCAATCGTGTCCTCCCAGGTTGTAAGCGGCGACGAAGGTAACATACCGCTATACTTTTCGTTTGCCTGCGCTGTGAAAGGCCAGTAGAAAGCGCCTGTGTGTTTCACGGTCCGGAAATCACTGCGGGATGTCATTCAATAGTGCCATTGATTTGATCAAAATCAACGCGGGGAGAACTGTTCGCAGCTCTCATTACCAGATTGCTCTACGCTCGCTGGTGGATTCAGTAGACGTACAAGGACTGAGATGATCACCGTCCTTGTCTCAACGCATGGAGGGGATATTTGTTATCGGTTTTCAGGTATTGTGTAAAGAAGGTTAGTGACGACTGTGAACCCGAACCTTGTGTATGTCAGCTTACCTGTGCTCAGGTAAGCTGACATTAGCTAGAAACTAATGTTGGCTTCTACATAAAATGTCTACACAAGTCCTGCCACGCTCGAAGCAAAATGCTTCTTCTGCTAGGAGCCGGACCGAGGCGCAAGGGTCTATTCGGATGCTTCCAATAGGACAAGAGGCTAAAGTAAAGTGGTTTGACAATTTTAGTTGTAGATCACGAATAAAGTTGTTTGCTTCATCGATATTATATAGTCATGCCTCGTTATTACGCTTACTTCCGTGCTCACCAAAAAATATCTCTTCTGTGAGTTTTCCATAATTACGGAACAAACATGCTAGTATTTCCCTTGTTTGTACCGAAACTATTGTCTGTATAGCGGGTTATTCAGAAAATAATGGGCTCCGCATTAACCAAAGGCAAGTTTATAATATTTTATTTGCCTTTATACAACCCAATAGCCCCTTATAGTGTATTAACTTCTGAGTTAAGTTATTTTTATTTTTACCATAACCTTCAGCGCCATCTACACGTTTCAATATAAACCTCGCTATGAAATTTTATTTGCAGAGAGGCAAGAAATTTTAATAACAAAAAAGTTTCACCTCGTGCACAAAAAGCGTGTTTCGCGGTATTGAAGTTGCACGCATGTTGTTTGAATCTCCGCGATGTTTGAACCAAACTAATCGAGCCGATTTTATGTACCAAACTACACCCACCGCGACAGCTTCGACACGTGACGGCAAATTCGTTGTGCGTCAGCGTCGCGTTTGACATCGAACGCTTTTTTTCACACACCACGGTGCGAAGACAATACGATTTGGAGCAAAATAGACGTCTCACCATTTTTTTTTTTCCCGAAAGCGTTCTTTTTTTTTTTTCTGTTTTGTTCCGGGGCGTGAACATGCTCGTCTAGGGGCCCGAGCTCTTTTCACTGACAGTGCTACAACGGAAATTTGTTATCGGCTATATATATTTATATTTTTTTTTGTCAGACAGCACGTGCCAGTTGGCATCGGATACTACAAAAAAGCCCTAAGGATTAACCCGGCTGTTAAACGCCTCCCCTTTGCACGCTGCGGACCTATGTTCGATTCCCGTGGGCAGTGGACGATCTTCTTCAAGGATGTAGCAGTATTGACGACGGAAGCCCTACGCCCTCATACGCCAAATACAACTACAAAGTCAACAACGCCGCCATTTAAAACATCATCAACTACAACGTCAATGTTAACAACTACATTATCAACAACAGACGTCGTTTTTAGTGGCGGAAAGGGCCCCCCATAACAGCTTTCGGTGTAAAACGAACAACGTACCGTTGAAAAAGTGCGGTGCCCACAGTGCTGGCTCCATGATGGCCTCTACCCTGGCCACGCATTCGGGAGCTGAGTCTGGGTGCTTGGACGCAAAGACATTTCCGTCGGCAAAAGGCATCAGCAGTCGCAGCATGGCCAAAGCCAGCAGAAAGTGTACGTCCTTGAAATCCATTTCTCTCAGCAGAACATTGATGGTGCCCAGTGCTTTTTCTTCAGCGTGAACGGGATCTCGGCCGCTGTACACATTGCCCGTGAGGCTGGCGATGGTCGACAACCAGCTCCCGACTAAAAAGTAAGTGGTTACTAAAACAAAACTGGTCGAATATGCAGATGAATGAACCACGTCAATAAATCGGAAATGAAACTTAGAACTAGTGGAAATACCAAAATTTCACGGAGACGGAATTCAATTTTAGAATTTCTCTATCACCGGTGATGAATGAAATCCACTCCATGGCGCAGGACCCCAATTTTATTTTTCGGTTAAATTAAGACATATTTTTACATGTATCATACGCTAAAAACCTGAGTTTGACAAGCAAAACGAATGCATCTACGAATTTTAGATAAATAACGTCTCCTGCTTTGCAGGCCGCCGTACGAAGAACAAAATAAAAACGATTAAAAATATGTAAATGTGTAATGTGAAAATGTTTTCCCGCGCGATAGACCCTTTCTGAAATCCAATCTGGCCACCTTGACAGCAAGCATCACCTAAGTGTTTATCATATGTATATCCTAATGGCTGCCTTTTGATAGGTGATGAATGAAGGATTTGACCAGGGAGCAATGCAGAGCCTAAACATTCCAGAGGTTAGTACGCTCTATTGTTCTTTGGTGACCGCTGGACCAGTTATTTTATAAGTATAACCTACTGTGCGCTACGCATTTGAAGGTTTATTGTGAATCCTTCTAATGCTCGGCTTCGGCCCAGCCCAGAGCTCATGACAATAAATTGGGGTGAATATTATCAAGAGATTTACTCAAGTGGGCGTCCCGTACAAAGCGTTAGCTTCTTAACACCATTAAACCTGAAATGAAAAGTTTTAGACTTTCAGCCACTATATGACACTATTTCTGAAACTGCCTATTTAGCGCTTTAGACCTCAGTCTGCTGGAATAAATGTCTCATTTACCAGTATAATTTCCATATTTCTGTTTCTTTTATCAGTTCTCTAGGAAAAATTTGGATATGTAACAAAACGAATGCGCATGCACGGAAGAGTGAAATGTGCTAACATGCATGGTCATGCATGGTAGCAATATAACATTGTAGCGTGAGCGGATTTCGACGGTGTGTATGTGCGCATGCCGGGTCATCTTCCTGCCGCGTTGTGCACGCGACGAACTGTGTGTGCGCGCGCGTCATCTTCGTGGCGCGTGCCGCGCGCCCCGCAACAAGAAAGAAAAAGAGAAGGAAGGCGGAGAACCAAAAAGGGAGTGTGTTCGAGCGGGCAGACCAGCGTGTGGAAGGGAACCGCCGGGCGTCCAGACCCAGGTTCTTCAAGGATTCCACCTGGCCTGACCTCCGGCTCCCGCGAGGCCTTCACCCCAGCTGAAAGCAGGTGCACGCGTTGTGGAGCACACGTCAAGAGCACAGCGGCCCGGTCTATTCCAACACGCCACCCTAGACGCCGACGCCGTGCCAACGACGCCTCCGACCCACCGGCTTCAAGCTGAATCCTGAGCTTTCCGGTACGTGCTTTGTTGCCGCTCCAGCGCACGACACCTCCCAAGACCCAGCGCCACAAAACAAGAAAGCGTTAAGTTGTTGCAGCGAACTTTCCGGTTGCCCTTAGTGAGCAGCATTGAAGCAGTGTGCCGACATTGCGAGAACAATCTGTCGAACGTGCATTCTTGTAACTGTTTCCCCAAAGTCATATTATTCGTAGTTTTTTGTGTGCAAATTTAAGTAGTGTGTTTTCTTCTTGGCATATTGTTTTCTAATATAAAGCTGTTTTCTACTTCAAACGGTCTCGTCTCTCAATTCACGTACCTGATACTCACGATTCTTCACAATTGGCGTCCGCAACAGGACGAGACCGTTTGAATCTTGTGGTGCATAACAGTAGAAGTGGAGACGAGGGAAGTCATATCTCTGGGCCAAGCGCTAGGTCTCGCAGGAGACGACTTACGCAATTGGGTAGAGGCGGAACGAGCGCGAGAACGGGACGCGAAGGTAGCGGAAAGAGAAGCGACAAAAGAAAGACTAGACGCCGAACGCGCGCTGGCTTCTCTTGAGCAGGAAACTCTCCAGCTAAACCTTCGCTTGGCAGAGACTGCAATCCCAGCAGCAGGCGCCGCCGCGGGTGACAGCGGTACAGGTCCAAAACAGTCGTTCATGATAAACCCGCATAAGCTAATCCCAGCATTTGACGACAAACGCGATGATTTGGACGCGTACCTTAAACGGTTCAAACATATCGCCGTTGCGCACAGCTCGCCAAAGGAAAAATGGGCCACTGCTTTGAGTATGTGTCTGGGTGGGGAGGCACTGAAAGTTTTCGGACGATTATCCCCGGAGGATTCAATGAAATATGATCAGGCCAAGCTCGCGCTACTCCAACACTTTCGCTTCACGGCGGAAGGCTACCGTGAAAAGTTTCGCGAGAGCAAACCCCTAGACGGTGAAACTGGAAACAGTACGCCGCGCGACTCTCCAGTTTTTTCGATCGCTGGATGGAAATGTCCGAAACGGCCAGAAACTTCGAGAGTGTACGAGACATTGTTGTCGCAGAACAGTTCCTCAACAACTGCCATAGCCAGTTGGTGTTGTTTTTGCGCGAGAGGAACTGCAAAACACTGAGTGTAATGGCCCAGGCGGCACATCACTATCTCGCAGCGCAACGTCAGCGAAACTTGTTGTTGTTCAGGAAAACGCCGGAATCAGAGAAATCAAAGAACGAGAGTGGAGAAGCCACCAAAAAGACTCAAATCAGATATCTCGTTTGTGACAAAAAGGAACACAAAGCATCTGTTTGTCGCTCAAAGCCCACGCAACTGTACTGCGTCTACTGCCGTAGGCCAGGCCATGATTTGAAGACGTGTTGGAAGAAGAGTAACGATCCAAGAGAAGCTTCTTCGTGTGTATCTCCTAAGAACTTACGCCATGAGTCACACCAAGCCGGGAGACACAAACCTAAGAAAAAAAAATGCGGTCAAAAAGGTTGCAGATGTTGCCCGAGAGAGGACGATCGAAACGTACGACATCCCTGTCGTGGAAGGTGAACTCTTAGGACAGGCTGTTTCGGTCTTAAGAGACACTGGCAGCAAGACCCTGATCGTGCGCCGGTCGCTTGTCCCAGAAACAGCACTTACCGGGTCAAAAGCTACTCTTCCGTTGGTAGACGGCACCCAACTGGAGGTTCCAGAAGCCAAGGTCGGCATCGCTTCACCATATTTCAAGGGTACCGCGATCGTGAAATGCCTAGGGGCACCGCTTTATGACGTCATAGTGGGAAATGTTTCCGGCTCGCACGAGGCCACTTGTCCCGACCCATACTGGAGGGGATCGTCCAAAATTGCTGAACTTCCGACGTGTAACGACGAAGTCGGCAGTGAGACTGAAGGTCATTAACCAGCCTTAGTTTTGGCGGGAACAGGTTCTCCTGCTCAACGTCGCAGGTGCTCCGTTGTGGACATCGGTTCTTTACAAATGACGAAGAAGACATTTCAAGAAGAGCAAGGAAAAGATGCAACTTTGCAAGGTTGCTGGGCAAAAGTAGAAAAAGTATTTCCTGGCAAGGGGGACACCTCACACACGTTCACGGTGGACAAGGGAATTTTGTTCCGCTGTTATCAGCTGTCACCAGGCAAGATCTTGAAACAGGCGGTACTGCCTAAAGTTCTGCGGGCTCAGGCATTAAACGTGGCCCACGAAAGTCCAATGACAGGGCATCAAGGCATAAAGAAGACCATCGACCGCATCCTGGAAGCATTTTTTTGGCCAGGCGTACACAACGAGGTCTGAAGATTTGTCAAGTCATGTGATGTCTGCCAGAAGACCTTTCTTAAGAGTAAGGTGGGCAAAGTCCCGCTTGGTCGCATGCCATTGATCGACACGCCGTTCGAGCGCGTCGCCGAAGACATTGACGGTCCGCTATCTCCAACATCAGTTAAGGGGAACCGCTACATTCTCACGTTGGTCAACTTTTCCACACGTTATCCGGACGCCGTAGCACTGCCGTCAATAGACTCAGTTACGGTGGCAGAAGGACTCGTGGAGATGTTCTCCCGGATAGGATTTCCTCGCGAAATTCTCTGTGATCGAGGCACTTGTTTCACCTCTGACCTGATGAGAGAGGTCAACGACCTGTTGGCAATCAAACATCTCAGCACAACTCCCTACCATCCGATGGGCAATGGGATGGTTGAGCGGTTCAACGGCACCCTAAAGCAAATGTTGCGAAAACTCAGTCATGAGCAGCCCAGGTCTTGGGATAGGTACCTCGCACCACTTTTGTTTGCGTATAGGGAGGTGCCACAATCTAGCCTTGGGTTTTCACTATTCGAGCTCATCTAGGGACGTCACGTGCGAGGTCCGCTTACGGTTCTCAAGAAACTGTGGACAGAGGATGAGATCAGTGACGAAGTTAAGACCACGTACGGTTACGTCCTGAATCTCAGGGATCGACTTGAGAAAACTTTGGAACTAGCGCATCGAAATCTAGTTCAAGCACGAACGAAGCAAAAAAGGCACTATGACAAGAACAGCAAACGTCGACAGCTTAAAGTTGGAGACCGGGCTCTCATTCTTCTCCCGACAAGCCACAACAAGCTTCTGATGCACTAGAAAGGACCTTTTCCCGTCACGGGGAAAAAGAATGAGTTCGACTACTGGGTCGACCTGGGACATACTACGAAGCTCTTCCACATTAAGATGTTGAAGCGATACGAAGAGCGCGAAAGGGAAATCCCTTTTCAAGCTTCGTCCTTCATTGTTGTAGAGGAAGCGGACTCAGACGCTCAGCTGCCAACCTTCAACGCAGAAAAAAGTCACGGGTCTGAAGCTGTGACGGTATCCGACGATCTGAGGGAAGATCTACGGACTGAGGCGCGTAAACTTTTGAAGTCGTACGAGGACATCTTCTCCGAAGTCCCAGGAAAGACGAATCTCATAGAGTGTCGGATGGACCTGACAACCACGGAGGTGGTGAACACACCACAATACCCTCTTCCCTTTGCGGTAAAGGACGTGATGGAGGAAGAAGTGGACCAGATGTTGAAGATGGGAGTAATCGAACGCTCTCGCTCACCTTATAACTCTCCTCTGGTGCTGGTAAAAAAAAAAAAGACAACACGTATCGAGCATGTATTGATTTTCGCCGCGTCAATGACCTCCTGATTTCAGATGCGGAGCCCATACCGAGGACCGACACAGTGTTTGCAGAGGTTGGAACCAAAAACTTCTCAAAGTTTGACCTCGCCAAAGGATATTGGTAGGTGCCACTGGAGG